GCTTTGTACCTGTAAACAGACCTTAACAAAAAAAAAACACTAACTTGTGTAAATATTTTTACAGATACAAATCTTATTTTTACAGATACAAATCTTATTTTTACAGATACAAATCTCATTTTTACAGATACAAAATTTATTTTTACAGATACAACTCTATTTTACACACACACATTCCTATTTACATATCCAAAAGTTACAAATTTAAGCTACAAGTACAAAGTCTGATTTAAGAGTACAAAATACACAAGGCCGGATTAACCATATGGGCAATTGGGCAATTGCCCAGGGGCCCATGGTCTCCAAAGGGCCCTGGGCAGTGAAGGCACGGACACAATGGATGCGGGATATGCGTGGACATGTCTTCCTGCTTTTCCTGCATCTGTGCTCTCTGTCCCGCACTTTTCTCAGCCGTAACAGCTGTATCCATTATTAACATATGGTAGTGAGTTTTTCTGAGCCGTCTTTGAACGCACCATAAGCGTGCACAAGCTACTCCTGCAGATGACGGATAGGAGCTGCTGTGCTGAGCAGAGCCTCGTGGTGTAAAGAGCAACTAAAACTTCACACAGTTTTTTACCAAACAAACCATGTAAGTTGAGTCATGCTGTTGGAGGCAGATAATGTTAGCTAAAAGAAGAGTTACACATTATATAATGTTTAGCTAGTTAACATGATTAGTTGTTGTTACCTGTTACATCCCTTGCCAAGCTAGTTTATTAATGCTGGGTTAAACCCAATTGTCTTTCATTTCTGTGCAGAAGTTGTGCTGGCTGCTTTCCACATATTTAAAATAAATCTTCATTGCCACAGTTCAAAGAGCAAGGTCAGGGAGGAGACAGACCAGACATAGCAGCAGGGATCATAACATCTGTCACTCTGCACGGCTTTCCTGACTGTGCCCGTTCCCTGAGTTCTGTTCGGTACTGAAGGGTGATGCTCCGCCTGGATGTAGTTAACACTCTCGCCAGCAGGTGGAGGTACCCGTTCCCCTGCCTGAGTCATGTAGGCGACGTCATCGCACGTGCAATGTCCCCCAACACCCCAAGAATGCTTGACTGAATGTGGCGTTCTGCTGCAGCTCCTCCAGCACCAGGATCGTCTCCTGCTCTCTGGCCTCCCGTGCATCATCCAGAAGAAGTTGAACATGTTGGTCCCGCTGATCTCGCATCATCTCGTCTTCAGTCTGCACTGCTGCGGCCAACGAATGCTGTTTTGTAGCACCGCGCCTTCTCCTGCCTAGACAGAACAAGAGTTTGCAGGTGGTTATAAAGAAGCACAGACAATTGTGTGATAAAGGCTTTAAAGAAAGAAGGTGTTGCATCTGATGAAAAGTATCTGTTCAAAACTAAATTAATGTTTTGTTTCTATGCACAAAGCAAACTTTATGAGTGCACTGGTGTTAAACAAATGAATGCAGGTATTGAACTTTGTGGGAAAAAAATAAGTGTTATTTTGCAACATCAAGGGAATTCTGCTATATGCACAGATATGAAACAAAGAAAATATTTGTTAATCAGACTTTTGGGCTTCATAAGTATCCACAATAAAAAATAAAAAAAATCCACTCATAACCTATTGGCACAAATACTGTTTTTTATTTAAACGTGTTTACCTCGTACCTGCTACACCCAACTGCTGTGCTGCTGGCTGCTCTGCGTGCAACTACTAGGCCCCGATGGTCTGGCTGGAGTTGATTTGGATCCGGGGAGCATGGTGGGTCCAAACCTACATTAAGCCACAGCTCGTTTTATGTCGACATACGTTCTGAAAAAAGAAACACAGCCCTTGAGAAAACCCGCAATATTTACATAGTTGCAGACCAAAGCAGTACACAGTAACAAATCACAGTTAGCATTGATGCTAGCAGCTGCCCTACTGCATCGGGAGTAATGAAGTCAGCGCGATCTACACAAAACGCGTCAATGTTTGCAGTTTGTTCAAAATACACTCACCACCGAAGGAATGAAATAAAATACAGTTAAAAATAACACTCACCATCGTCCATCAAGGACTCCAACAGAGCAGAGGCCATATTTTCCCGACACTGCTTTGGCATTCACTGGTAAGCCACGACTGGCCATCAGCTCCGAGATCTCCTTGAAAACTTTTTCGTTGCGAGTAGAGCCATCTAGCTCACTCTGAATTTTGTCCTCTTGTCACCAAGCACAAAAACTCCTGCACCTCAGAGTTTGACCACGGTGTGGGTTTCTGTGTTGCCATTTTTGAGTATCAAATGTTGGTCCACGGCAAAGAAATAATGGTACCTCAAGTTGTTGTTGTTGTGAGGGTAGAGGGAGCAACTAGTGACGCCACCCCTCAACCAATCAGTGACCGACAGTGATATGACATCACATTTTACAGCATGGCTCGGCTCTGATAGAACCTCAACTAAGTAGGTACTAAAAAAAGTATCGGTTCCATGATTTTTTAGTAATGGAAACGGCATGGAACCATGCTGAGCCAAGCTGAGTCGTGCTAAGTAGGTACTAATGGAAACGGGGCATAAGTGAACCTGGAATGGTTCCAGCATGTCTCTCACAGGTGCGTACGCATTTGTGGGCAACACACAAATATGATGTTGGTTTGATAAAAGATTTTGAGCCTGTTGTGCACCCAAAATCTACATTCAGGCCTAAGTTGCAACAATATCTATTATAGCCTGAAGCTGTTGAGGGAATTACTCCTGTTCTTGAGTCGTTGTTGAATGCTGGTGTGATAATACCGTGTGATGATTCACCTATTCGATCACCTGTTTTCCCTGTGAAAAAGATCAGCGACAAACCACCGGATGAGTGGAGGTTTGTTCAGGATCTCAGGGATGTAAATGCTGCTGTTCATGCCAGGGCCCTTATGGTGCCAAACCCTTATACTGTACAATCTTATCACAAATACCATCTGAAGTATGGTTCAGTGTTTTGTAAAACTGATTTCCTGAAACTTTGCTGGTTGTTGTGGTGTGATCAGGCCCTCTGCTCAGATCTGTTCATGGTGTGACTATTTTTGCAATTGCAAATCTGAATAAATCAATGACGACCATTCTACGAAGTGCATCTTCTTTTTATTCACGTGTTTGTCTTTTTAACAAATATTTCCACAACACTGTCAAAAAGTAAATAACTTGCGTAAAATAAAAACATTTTTATCATCATAATTATCTTAACATCTTAAAACATTCTAACAATTGTGTAACTCCAACAGAACATTCAGCTAATACCTGTACCTAGATGACTACAGACCTCTTGTCATCTAGGACATGTTTTTAATAATAAAATGTGAATTTTAACACTAAACTAACAGCAGATATATATTCACATACTGTACATTATTGTGAGAAAACAGTCGGTTACTAACAAACATCCACGCTACACATTTATCACTAAAACTTGGAAACGATAAAATTAAATTCAGTGACAACCTTTTTAATGTTTGACAGTAAGATGGTAACAAGATGATTTATACTAAAAGTTTGATTCAAGCAACTAATGAAACTTCATTTTATTAAACACATCTCTTTCAGTTTCTACTGTCCATCCTAACTCTGTCTCTTCTGCTCTATCCTGTAACAAAACCACCCTCTGGTGACGAGGAGAAAAACCTGACAAAACTAGTGGAAGTGACTCAGGTTTGTAGGCTGCTCTTTTCAGTTCAGACCATTAACTTTGGCGTTCATACACACCCAAGGATGAACCAGAGTTGTGAAGGTCAACAGTTTTCTTCCTGACATCGGGACTGGTTTCTTTTAATTGTTCTTGGGGTCTCATGCAAATAAGCAGTGTTTTGGATCAGCTTTAAAATGTGTCCACATGTGTCTGTAATCACTCCAATGCTGTCAACTAACATTAAAGTTTCCAGATTCATGGCATCATCATTATCTGGACTTTCCCAACTTGGTAAAAAGCAGCATAGTCTTAGTTTATTTGAAGTGTGTGTAAAGACAAACTGATGTTTCCTCTTGTGTTGTTTCAACTTAGGAGTCATATGAGTGCTTTGTTTTAGTGTGGATTCTCATGTGTGTGTTTAAACTGCTCCTTCTGGTAAACCTTTGATCACACAGCTCACAACAAAATGGCTTCTCTCCTGTGTGGAYTYTCATGTGTGTGTTTAAAYKGYCCTTTKYRGTAAACCTTTGATCACACAGCTCACAACAAAATGGCTTCTCTCCTGTGTGGATTCTCACGTGTCTGTCTAAACTGCCCTTTTCAGCAAACCTTTGATCACACAGCTCACAACAAAATGGCTTCTGTCCTGTGTGGATTCTCATGTGTTTGTCTAAATTGCCCTTTGTGGTAAACCTTCGATCACACAGCTCACAACAAAATGGCTTCTGTCCTGTGTGAATTATCATGTGTTTGTCTAAATTGCCCTTTTCAGTAAACCTTCGATCACACAGCTCACAACAAAAGGGTTTCTGTCCTGTGTGGATTATCATGTGTTTGTCTAAATTGCCCTTTTCAGTAAACCTTCGATCACACAGCTCACAACAAAAGGGTTTCTGTCCTGTGTGGATTCTCATGTGTTTGTTTAAATTGCTGTTTTCAGTAAACCTTCGATCACACAGCTCACAACAAAAGGGTTTCTGTCCTGTGTGGATTCTCATGTGTGTGTTTAATCTGCTCTTTTTGGTAAACCTTTGCCCACACAGCTCACAACACAACAGCTTCTGTTCATTGCTGTTGTTTTTAACACCTGATTCAGGAACCCTGCTAGGAGAAGACTCACAATCTTTATCAGGTTTTGACCCTGGGTCTACAAAATGTTTCAGCTGAGAGTCAGGATTATTCACATCATTATCCTCTTCATCATCCTCACTGACTTCAGTTTCTGAGGAGTCAGAATCCTCTTCATCATCCTCACTGACTTCAGTTTCTGAGGAGTCAGAATCCTGATCTGAGCTGCTGGTTGGAAGATCTCTGACTTTAACTTGGTGTTGATGAAGCTGTAAGAACAGAGGTTTATCTTCATCATCCTCATGCTTCAAAGGAACTGCAGTGAACGTAACGTTGGTGGCATCAGTCTCCTCCTTCACATTGAGCTGCTCTGCTCCCAGATTGTTCCACAGTTCCTCCTCTTCCTCTTTTATGTGGAGGTGTTCTTGGTCCTKCTGGTCCACATCAGGCTTCTGTTCTTCAGGTTCTTCTTTAATCAGTACCTGACCCCCTTCAGGAACCACTGAAACACATGAACAGAACATTAAAGGAGAACTGTAGTTTTATCCTCACACAAACATCTCTTGTTGGACTGCTCAGGTCACAATGTTGGTTTATTTTAACAAAAAGGGTTCAGAGCTAAACTGGAACCAGAGCTCACTACTAACTCTAAGGGAGAGCCCAGCCACCCTGCGGAGGAAACCCATTTCAGCCGCTTGTATCTGGGACCTCGTTCTTTCGGTCATGACCCAAAGCTCATGACCATAGATGAGGGTAGGAACGTAGATCGACCGGTAAATCGAGAGCTTCGCTTTCTGACTCAGCTCTCTTGAAGAGCAAATCTTTCCCACTAAATTGGTCATGTGACTATGAAATAAGGGCGCCCAGGGACTCCAGGGGATTAATC